TGTCCCTGACTGCAGAGCTCTGACCTGAGTGGGGGATCAGCTTCTCCTGGGATGACTCAGGCTCTCCTCCATCCTGATGTCTGCTCCCCAGCAAGCCTCAGCTCCCTTCCCTCTGCCTGGGGGGGAAAGGATGGGCTGAGTCTGTATCCCTCTCTCCAAGATGCTGTAGCTCTCCTGCAGTTTCTCTCTCCAGTTGCTTTTCCCTCCCTCAGCTTTTATGGCTCCATTGTAGCCAATCAGAGCCCGGGGTTTGCAATGGGGGCTCTGGTTGCAGCTCAACTCCTCCAGTAAAAAGCATGCATTGTGCACAGCATGCTCTCTGTTTGGAACAGCTATTGCACCCTCTGCAAACTTTTTGCTGCCTTCCTTGCAAAGTTCTTAGGCACAGCTCATTCACTCAGCTTGCAGCCAAGCAAGCCTTTGCAGCTGTTACATAAAAGAACAGGTATTGGGCTGAGGGTCTATTAAGGTCTTTACTGCACCTATCACTGTGGTACCCAGATACCTAAGATACAAAACAAAAGCAGCGCAGACACAAACATTTTATGTAACCCCAAGTACATAATCCCTTCGGACATGCCCTAAATATTTTAGTTGAAAATAGTTTTAATTTTTTTTTTGATCCCTCAGTTTTCATTTTGGCATTTCCTAGTAGACTTTCAATTTCAGCTATGCTATGACTGCAACACTTGAAATCTATAGAAGGGGTAAGGCAATAATTTGGAATGTGACATCATTTCTGTGTTCTCTGTGCTCTCCTAGCCCAAATATGGAAATCAAACATTTTTGTATTTCCTCATATTAGAGCCGTGTGCTGTCAGCATCACAGAAATGCAAAGCCGTGGTGTGGAGCTGAGTGGGAGTTCTAAAGGAAAAGAATACATTTGCCATGGTGAACTTGTTGAGTTTAAGTGTCAGTTGGGGTATGCACTTCCTGCACTGTCATCTACTTCTAATTTTACTGTGCGGTGTCATTCAGGCCAAATTTCTTATCCCCAGTGCAATAAAGGTAAATGTTCCTTTCTTATAGTATTGTTTTCTGGGACATTCTTAACTGGTAGAACTGAATAAACTTCCAATAGGTCTGATAATTATGGCAAATATAGGAAAAGGACATATGTGTGAAATGAGCAGAATATAACCTATGTTAATATTGTTTAATTAAATCTCCTCTTATTTTCTGAAGAGGGCTTTTTGTTCAGAGAACGGATTTTTTGAAAGTTTAGTATAGGTTTATTCATGAATGCTCCATTATTGTATTTATCACAGCTGTCATTGAATAGAACTAGTGTTTAAATGAAATATTAATTTAGACACATTTAGACACACAAAATTACTTTTCAGAAAGCAGACACCTAATTGTGGAATTGTTTTTATGTAAAATTCCTCCATGGATTGAAAATTTGCAGGGCAACAAAAACCTGATAGTGTTTATAGGCAGCTGAGGAGACAGCATATTAACTGTCCAGATTTTTTAGCTATTCAATGTGTGAGTGGGGAAAGAGGAAGGGAAGATCCAGACATAAAGCTGTTAAAACTCTACTCCAAATTGTTCATACAGAGTCCCACAGGGAGAACTCTGCCAGCAAAGGACTAGATGCAGGGAAGTACAGCAGGCAGGAATGGCCTCCAGGGCTGCCCATGATAAAACCAGCTGTTGCACAGGGAAAAGCCTCACCAGTGTGTAGGTCTAGAGCAGGGGTAAGCAACGTTTTTTTGGCCAGAGTGCCAAAAAACCCGCAATGTCTACCTTGGAAGGTGCTGGAGTCCCGACATGCCAGAGCAGATGTTTGCAGCCTCCCAGCTGCAGCTGGCCCCTGGAGCCCAGTCTGCTTGCAGCAGGGCTTGCAGCCTCCCAGCCGCCCCTAGTGAGTGAGGCCTTTGGCTCCCCCTGCCAGGAGCCTCTGATATCACCCCCATGTCCAGCCAGAGCTTCTAAATGCAAGGTTTTGACACTCAGCTGATTGATCATGATCAGTCACTTGCACAGGCAAACCTGGTGAAATTGCAAGTAGGGTACAATTTGGGTCTAATCCCTGATTTCAGAATTGCTCATTGGAGGTGCAGTTGTTGGGGTGGCCGATCACATCCCATTGCACCTTTAAAATGAACATCTGCCAGTGGCCATACAAAGGGAAACTTCACAATCTTCTTCAGGGCTAAAGGTCATTTGGTGTCATTCCAGCATCAGTTCTCCTGAGGGACACAAACTTTTAGTTGTCCTAGAATTTCCTTTAGGTTAGTCTACACTAAGATATTCAGTTGAATTTTTGCATGAGGGGAAGCTTGGGCTTGGTAGACTTCCAGTGCCCTGTGCACCATCCCTACCAACTTCTCCCACCACCAACACACCCAGCTGCCCTCTTGCAGCCTTGCTGGTCTGCCCCAGGGGCAAGCCAGCCATTCTCTGGTGGTCCCAGGCTGCAGGATGGCAGTGGGCATGATGCAGGGGTACTGAGCTTACCTGCCTCTCCTGCAGTGGGGTCCGGAGGTGGAGGGCAAGCTGTTGGCAGGCTGAGCTGTCTCTGAGCTGTGGGGGACCCCGGTGCTTCCCTCTGCAGTGGCAGCATGCTCACAGGCAGCACCTGTATGCTGGCACCTGGCCTGGGGTGGTCCTGGGGGACACTGCCACGACAGAGGGAAGCACAGGGCCCCGCACAGCTTAGGGGCTGTGGGACCCGGTGGCAGCCCATGCAGGCAGGGTCAATTGAAGGGGAAAAAAAAAATGGCAGCGAGGAGCCTGATCTTCCTTTCCCCACCCCTTGCTCCCTGGAGCCTGCCTGCCTGCCTGAGCTGCGTGGGGGCCCGGTGCTTCTCTCCACAGCTGCAGCAACCCTGGGTAGCTCCCACCCACTAGCGGCCTGGCCAGGAGCTGCCCGGGCTGTGAAGGGAAGCACTGGGCCCTGCGCAGCTCAGACAGGCAGGCTCCGGGAAGAAAAAAGCCATCAGGTTCCTCATCAATTTTTTTTTCTCCTTTAGTTGAGCCTGCTTGCATGGTCTGCTGCTGGGTCGCACAGCCCCTGAGCTGCCTGGGGCCCGGTGCTTCCGTCCATGGCTGTGGCATCCCCTGGGACCTCCTGGGCTGGGTGCCAGTGGGCGGGTGCTGCCTCGGGGGGTGCCACCACCATGGAAGGAAGCATTGGGTTCCCCTCACAGCTCAGGGACAGCTCGGCCCACCGGCAGCTCACCCCTCCTCTCCCCCGCCACAGGAGAAGCAGGTAAGATCCTAAGGATCAAACCTTCTAACTCTTGTTCTCTGTGCAAAGGGGGGGTTAGTTCAGTTTAGTTTTCCCAAAATTGAAACGGTGGAAATGGTGTTTTTTTAAAAACCCACTGTTTCAATTTAGGGAGAACTAAACTGAACTAAACCCCTGTCATGTGTACAAGCACCACTTGTCATTAGTTATACCTATTTAAGGACTCCACAACAGAATTGAGTAGTTTCACCTCCAAGTACAAGCTTCTCTTAAGGCTTCCCTTGACAATGATCATATTGCCCTATATTTTGTACTATTTTCAGGACATGCATCAGATCTTATGCTTATGAGAGTATGTGAGTGCAGTCTACATGTGATGTCTGCACAGCACTGAAATATTCTACAGCATATGGAACGCAGTAGCAAATTAAAGCTTCCAATGCACAGTAAATCCTGAAGGCAAGGTAGATTTGCACCTTATAGCATAACTAGGTATGTGTGTGTGTGTGTGTGTGTGTGTGTGTGTGTATAATAGCATAATTTTCATGAGTTTTATCAGATCCTGTGAAAGGTCATGTTCCAACTCACAGAAGACTATGCTATATGTATCTCTCATTAAGTTAGTCTATAAAGTGAAAATCTACCCTGCCTTCTGCTTGACTTCAGACTAACTCAACTAATTATGCTTCTCTAACTCCCATCTGACTGCTCTTCTCTCAAATTTATCAGTATACTGGGAGAATTACCTACCTGGATTCAGGGAGTAGCATAGATTGAGAAGAAAAGAGAATTAGGGGACTCATTTAACTATTAATCTTGGAAAGATCAATGTTGTCTTTTACCTTACCTTTAAGCCTACATTTTAAAAAGCATATTTAGCTAAGAAACAATGCTACCAACATTTTCATCTTAAGACACTAACCTGCTAATACTTACCCTGTGTCCACATCCTCTGTGTTTATTTCAGATTTGTTGAAGTGTGATTCCCCACCATATATAGAAAATGGAGTCCTCAGTTCTGACCTCTTGTTAGAGTGTGAAGCGGGCTCTACAGTGGAGTACAAATGCCGACGTTTCTGTACAATGAAGGGATCCAAAATAGTGACATGTCACTTGAGAAAATGGAGAGATCTCCCCACATGCTTAGGTAAATAAAATAAAATTTATGATATGAAAAAGACAGTGAAGGAACTTGAATCTTAACCTATTTGATGGGTTTTCATAAACCACAGCTCTGAACTTAAGGACTTGAGCTTTTTGAAAAAGAGACATTGTTTATGTCATGGTTAGAGAAAAAAAGCTTGGAAATATGCCTCAACCAAATCATGAAAGCTCAGAAACCAAAAAGGATCCTGAAAAACCCCAATTTAATTTAATCTCATGATTTTGAAGCCAGTCTTGCCTGATTTCATGATTTTGAAGCAGCACCCACGGGACGCCCCTGCCCACTGTGGATCAGGGAGGCCTGGATGAGGGGGATTCCTTGCCCTCTATCAATGCTGACCTTGTGAAGGAACATCTTGACAGGCTGGATACCTTCAAGTCAGCCAGCCCTGATGATTTACACTGAAGAGTACTCAAGGAGCTGGCAAGCATCATAGCTCAACCTGGTATGGATCTTTGAGAACTCCTGGTGCTCTGGTGAAGTGCCTGAAGATTGAAAGAAGGCCAATGTCATGCCTATCTTCAAGAACGGGAGGAAAGTAGATCTGGCAAACTACAGGCCCATCATCCTGACCTCTATCCTGGGGAAGGTCTTAGAAAAGATTATCAAAGAGGCCATCCTTAACAGACTAGCTGATGGCAATATCTTGAGGGATACCCAGCGTGGATTTGTTGTGGGTAGGTCTTGCTTGACCAAATCTCATTTCCTTTTATGACCAGGTGACCTATCACCTGGACAGGGGGGAAGGGATTGATGTCATACTTGACATTAAAAAAGCCTTCAATCTGGTACCCCATGATCACCTCTTGGTAAAACTGGCTAACTGTGGCCTTGACCTCACTACGATCCTCTGGCTGGGGAATTGGCTCCGTGGTAGGACCCGGAGGGTGGTGGTTGATGGGAGCCAATTGTTGTGGTGCGCAGTGACCAGTGGGGTCCCTCAAGGCTCTGTCCTAGGGCCTATACTGTTTAACATCTTCATCAATGATGTAGACATTGGTGTCAGAAGCGGACTGGCCAAGTTTGCCGACGACACCAAACTCTGGGGTAAAGCATTCAAACCTGAGGACAGGAGGGTGAACCAGGCAGATCTTGACAGGGTCATGAAGTGGGCGGATGAGAACCTGACGGTGTTCAACACCGAAAAATGCAAGGTTCTCCACCTTGGGGGGAAAATCCTGCAGCATCCTTATAGGCTCGGCAGTGCTACTCTGGTTAGCACTACAGATGAAAGGGACTTGGGGGTCATGATTGACCATAAGATGAACATGAGCCTTCAGTGTGATGCTGCTGCTAGTAAAGTGAGCAAAACACTGGCTTACATCCATAGATGCTTCTCAAGCAAATCCCAGTATATCAATCTCCCCTTGTACTCGGCCTTGGTAAGGCCGCAGCTGGAGTACTGTGTCCAGTTTTGGGCTCTACAATGCAAAAAGGGTGTGGAGAAGCTTGAGAGAGTGCAGAGGAGAGAGGGCATGATGAGAGGTCAGGACAACAGACCTTATGATGAGAGGCAGAGAGCCATGGGACTCTTCAGCCTGGAAAAGTGCAGGCTCAGGGGTGATCTGGTGGCCACCTATAAGTTTATCAGGGGTGTTCACCAGGATCTGGGGGAACACGTCTGTTCACCGGAGCACCCCAAGGGATGACAAGATCAAACAGTCTCAAACTCTGCCGCCACTGATTCAGGCTGGACATAAAGAAGAACTTCTTTACTGTCTGATCCCCCAAGGTTTGGAATAGACTACCACCAGAGGTGGTTCAAGAACCCACATCAAATGCCTTCAAGATGCATTTGGAGGCTTATCTTGCTGGGATCCTATGATCCCTGCTGACTTCCTGCCCCTGGGGCAGGGGGCCGGACTCGATGATGCTCTGGGGTCCCTTCCAGCCCGAATCTCTATGTCTATGAGCCTATGATGTCAGACAGCTGAGTACTGACTTGGCAGATTTGTCATAGATGGGCAAGGATGGATGTTTTTTGTTTTTTGCTTTTGGTCCTCCCCTTTTCCCCCCCTTCTTTGTAGTATGGGAAATGATGGTATGAGCGCACTTTGTACCTAACAATTCCATCACTGCAGTCATCTGCGAATTGGTGATGACTTTGTCTCTCCTCTTCTCTTTCTGTGGTGCACACACTGTGGGTTCTTTTCTATTGGATGCTTTGTGACTGTGGTGTGAGAGAGGGTCTGAAGTGTATAATCTTGGGGATTCCTTTGGACAAATGTCTGGCTTTGAATGCAGGGGACTAAACTTGGTGGTCCAGATGGTTACTTCTAATCACATTTTCTGGTGACCTCCTTAAATCTCATGGTTTCCAGCCATTTGGCAAATACAGCAGAAACATTGTTGCCATTTCCAGGATTTATAACAATCCTTATTCCTATAGCCTTGTTATCCCCATAGCAGTATACTTTTCTCATTAAGAACACTAAGGGCTAAGATACCCTGGAAGTTGGAAAGGCAACAATTCAATCATCCATCCTCCTATACCCTCCTCTAGTGTACTCTTCCCTTCCTTGCTATTCATGTTATCGATCGCATATTTTAAATTATTTGCCTATTTTTTCCTCGCTGCTATTGACAGTTTGGGACACCTGTGCAACAGCACCAACAGCATTAAAACTCGACGTCAAACTACATTTAACTTAGCACATTCTTCCTGAAGTGGTAACTAGAAGGAGGGAAAATTAGTGAGACCATAATTGGGGCACACATGAATTGGAACGAAAGGGAATGCTTTACTGTCACATTTGTGTATACATAGTTAGGGTGGCAGAGGGTGTGGGGGTGGGGTGGAAGGAAATTTCCTTCATAGACTTCTATGTTGTTGCATAATTCTTCACTAGAAAGAGAAGAGGGGATATAGTCATCACTGTGACAACAGGATGAAAGAGAAAGTAAAAGGATTGTGATTTTATTTTACCCCTGTTTTCTCCCTACTCTCTATGTTTTATTTGAATTAAGAGCTCATTTTCCATTTCCAGTAATGGACTTATCCCCTCCTCGCATCAAATTGCTTTTTTTTCCTCTCTGAAGAACCTTGTATGGTAATCAAAGAGGACATGGCAAGGAACAATGTGAAGCTGAAATGGATTTCTCAAGAGAAACTGGAAGTGCCCATAAATGACTTTGTAGAGTTTGCATGTAAATTGGGATATCAATTGGATCCAGTATCTTCTGGTTTAAGGGTACAATGTTTGGAGAAGAACCTGACATACCCTAAATGCAGAAAAAGGGGTAAGTAATCTTTCCCAACCCCATGTTGACAATCCAGGACTCCAGTAGAAAGGTCTACAGCCATGAAAATGAAACCTCAGTCCCACTGCACTGAGCAACAATGCAATGAAGTGTTGACTTGAAATGACTAAGAATTGAGTAAATAGAACAGTTCGACAAAGTATTTATTGATTATTTACTGTCACTGTTTCTCCAAATCTAATTGATAAAAGCTTCCTCCATAGACTTATTTTTTCCACTAATTTTCCACCCGAAAAGTCAGGGGGTCCTTTGTCTTCACTTTTGCTTTTGTCATTGTAATATCTGGGAAAAGAATAACTAACTTCTCAGGGTTTATGTACCTGTAAGTATCTGGAGATACATTTCAAATGAAAAAACATACTTTTGATCCACTGTCAGATTAATATGCAAATTACTAAATAAGCTTTTTCTTTGTGCAGATCCTTGCATGGTAACTAAACAAGATATGACCAGAAACCATATACAGTTGAAATGGATTGCTAGAGAGAAATTGGATGTGCCAGGAGGGGACTTTGTAGAGTTTAAATGTGAATCAGGACATGAACTGGATCTGGTATCTTCTCAATTAAGGGTACAGTGTTTGGAGAAGAATCTAACATACCCTACATGCAGAAAAAGGAGTAAATAATCTTTTTCCCCTATACCGTAAGTTGTGAGTTAGCTAAATTTTGTTTCATATGCTTCAAGCATTAATTAAAACAAATGAACAAACATTGCATTAAAGACACAGTGACTTTGCAGAATCAAAAACAATATTCTCTGCAATTTTCATTTAAAGAGGAGAAATTAATTATTCACAAGATTAAAGCTGCTATTCACATGATGTATCCAGTATTCCAACAGAATTATACAAATTGACATTTAAAGAATACCATATTTAATCAAATACAAGACAACTCTTAAATATAAATACATGACAACAATTTAAGAAGATCCCCCCTCCCCCCCCCGCCCGCCAATAGTTAGGTTCTAGACTTGGATAATGTATACTTTTTGTTATATTTTTCCATGTGTAGAATCTAATTATTGGAGGATCATCTTGAATCCTTCCCCCACCACACCATTGCAACAGGGACGGCAGTGGCAGGGGGCATGTGTTTGGTATCAGGTACTAAGGGCAGAGGTGTTTGGGTAGGCAGTGAGGAGCAGGTGATAAGTGAGGCAGTGATCAGGGGCAGGCAGCTTTCCCCCTGCTATCTATCTTCTGCTCCCACCACTTACCCTCCTTGTGCCTGCCTCCTCCTGCAGTCTCTTTCTCTACCTGCCTGCTCCCCCTGCAGCCTTGCCATTTCTGCCTCCCCATTCCACCTCTCTTTCCGCTCCAGCAGCCTCTTCTCACCTGCCTGCCTGCCTGCCCCGCTTCCTGATCCGTTGCTAGCAGGCTGCATCCCTATTCTAGTTGGGTCATATAGCCCAGCCCAAACCAGCTCTGTAATAGTGGTGCAGAGCCAGCATGGCATGGTACAGCAGTCCAGGGCTATAGGGGTACAGAAGTTGCATGGGAGGAGATAGCGGGGAAGGGGGGCATAGTTGAGATGGGGGTGGACATGGAGACTTGATGTCGTTGCGGTGGAGATATGGGGTGTACAGACAGTGGAGAGGCAGGCACCTAGTTCTGGAATTAAGTAAACGCAACATATTCAAAATGCCATTCCAAATAGCCTGAAAGATGAACGATACAGGGTCTTCATAAAGTCCTTGTGCACTTTTAAACTTTAATAACTTAGGTTGTGCACAAGGACTTTATGAAGACCCTGTACAAGGGAACTTTAAATACTTTTACCCCAAAATGTACTGTTCATCTCTCACACAAAGTAATACAGTCACTTAGGGACCACGATGATATCAAAAGTCCTTATTAGAGTCTTCCAATGTGTCTCTTGATTCTTAAATCACGTACAATCCAACAGTTTCAAGATACTTTTTTTTTTGTTAAAGTATGGATTTTCTTCTTATCTTATTTATTCAGTGTCACATAACTCAAGTTACATGAGAAATGTTTGTAAATGCTGAAGCTGTAGTCATGGCCACAGAAAGGTTAGACTCTTGCAATAAGGTGATTGATATATGGGTTAGTAAACACACACCTTTCTGTCTACTGAGGAGGCAAGAATAAACCTTTCTTTAAGACTCAGTCACTATTTGCTCTCTAGGCCTAATGTTTTGTATCTTGTTCTTTTTTTGTTATTTCCTACCTAATTTAAGACAAATACCATAACTACTTGATTCCAAAATGAAGTTATTTTCCCCAATTTAACATGGGGTGGGGGGAAAGGGCTGTTCTCTTAGAATAGTGTCTGAAGTGGTGAGAGGTAGGTAGCTGATACTTGACCCCTCTGCCTCGTTCCTCTATCACCCTCCTTCTCCCCATCTCCCTCCTACACTGTTTCTGCCCCTGTCCCCCTCTGTCAGTCTTGGGCCCCTGCCTCCACCCCAGCCTCTGCCTCCTGCTGCCCCTCCTCTTCCCTTCCTTACCCTTGTTGTGGTACTGGCAAGCTTCATCTCTGCTGCAGCCTGGAGCATGGTGGATGGCCCCACAGAAGCTGTGCCAACTCCATGTCACTGCTATAGGGCTGGACTGGGGCCATGCTCCATGCCCCAGGCTGGAATGGGGATGGAGCCTGCTGGTGCCAGAGCAAGGCTAAGCAAGGGAAAAAAGGGGAGGAGCAGACAAGGGACAGAGACTGCAGGGGTGGAGATGTGGAGGAAAGGGGATGCAGAGGCTGCAGATGGGGAGGCACAAGTGGGTAAGTGGTGGTTCAGGGGCAGGCAGCAGGGGGAAAACTGCCTGCCTCCACTGCTGCCTGCCCCTCCCACCTTCTTCAAACTTTATGTCCCCTACTATTTGCTTCCCTACTGCCTGTCTCTGTGCCACTGCTTTCCCCACTGCAGTGTTGGGGGTGGCAAATTTAAGATGATCCTTCAATAACTAGATTTTATACTTGTAAAATTATAACAAAAGTATACATTTTCCATGTCTAGAATCTAATTATTGGGAGGGGGGGTATCTTAAATTCAGGATCAACTTGGATTTGCATACATATGGTACATATTTTTATGAAATTGTCCTCTGTGGGAAATTATATTATTATACACCTGTTCTCAGTCTCCCATGTTCTTAAGAGGTGATTTTATAAGTTTGTTCTCCAGAGTTGTCTTATGCAAGTCTGATTCCCATAGCACCTCTTGTACAGGGCTGTCGGAAATGACACCTTACCTGCAAAGATGTGGAAGAGGGAGAATTCATGGGCAGGGCTGGATTAACCCTTTAGTGGGCCCTAGGCAAACAAACTCGTGGACCCCTTTTTTCACTCAAGTATTATAATATGTAAAATTAGCACAACTAGGCCCCTTCTTCACTTCAGGACCTAGGCATGTGCCTCTTTTTGCCTGTTAGTTAATTGGGCCCTATTCATGGGTGCAGTTGAAGAGTACTGACTGAATGTAGCTAATTGTTGGAAGACAGAATGAAACAGCATGAGACTCCAGAAAGTTGATCCTTTTCTAATGTCAATGCCATAGTTGCAACAAAATAAGAGTGAATCACAACAACAGTTTAAACCAGAAAACATAAATATTTTTTTCTCTAGTTCAGTATTAGTTTTAATTTTTATAAACAGCTCCAGCATTTTCAGGCACCTTTGTGCAATTATGTGATGGTGAGGGTGGTATAGAGAACTCAGCCCCTTAGGATGGGGTTATCACTGCAGATTTCAGATCCAGGAGCTGTTTTAGGGTTGTAGCAACTTGGTGCGGAGTCTCCTTTAAGCCACAGCAGCCAATCTGATCTCCCTTGAGATCTGATCTGTCCGATCACCCCGGCAGTGAATGCAGCATAGTGTTCTAGTCCTGTTATACAGCCATTGAGACAGTATCAGTTACTTCTAATATCAGCTTCAAAATATTTATAATATTTGAGTTTTGTACTAAATTTTTATTTTCTATTATTCATTTTTCTCTGACAGGTTCTCAACAAAAAAGAGACATTTAAGAGAGATTTTGAAGAAAGCATTTACCCATCAAGATAAATGAGCTTTTGGTTGTTATATTTCTGTATGATCTCTCTTCATTATATTTGCCTGAATTGCAGTTTTAAATTCATCATAACCAGCTAATTCGCATGTTCATTGTTTGCCTTTGATGAAATGAATCTTACTAAACGCACAGAAAGCAAAGCAGATGGATAAACCAAAAAACTTCAGCTAGAGTACAGCCCCCAAAAATAATAAAAATAAATAATAAAAGAAGGAAATCACATTACTTTCTGATTTTTGATTGGCAGAAGTATCTATATGTCCTATTTAGTTTGAGAAGGACACATTTTGCTCTTGTATCTCATATGTTGATTAGAGGAAATACTTAGACTTTTCTTGTGTTGGCCCATTCATGCTATGTATCATTTATACCTTTATGTTTATACCTTTTTTATCCTAATCAATAGTATGTATTTGTGTTAATATTAAAATTTGTATAATCAATAACAATAAGGATTTTCCTCTGCTTCTACTATGTTTTGAATAAAACTCCCAGCATATATTTTTTTTTTTTACTTATGCTTAGTCATAATCATATGTCTTGGTGCTGATTATAAAAACAAGGATAGGAAAAGTAGTTGGCCGTATTGATGCCCACTGAACAAGTACACTGTAATTAGAACCTGGCCATTTAAACTTTTTAAGTTTCTGAAATATTTTTGCAAAACAGGCTAAGAAATTGGCACATTTATAAGATGTTGCAAATTTATGGAAAATTCTGTGGGTTTACAATTTATGTAAGCCAAAGAAATTTAAGCATGGGTGTGCTAGATCATATGATTGAGCCTGTTCCAATCAAAATACTGCAGTACAGCACTCCAAGAAAAGGGAATGTGCGCCTTATATCCCTGATTGATTATGGTCTTAATTGTCAAAATTAATTAATTGAGCTTAGTCAGTGTATTGGTCTGAATTTTTTTTTGAATAACTTACAGTCAGCACTTGGGTCACCCATCACGGTTGCTGTGAAAAGAAAATGATTCAATAGATGTCAACATAAAGTATCTTAATGGAATTATAGAGGCTGTTATTCCTTCTGCTTACAGGTTAAACTGGTTGAATATTTTCAAAATGCAAAGCATACATAACAATAGTTGAAAAAACTGTCTTATGTTTCTTGTCACACATTAAAATGCCAAGAAAATGTTTGACAACTGAGTCTGTTAGGTTCTTTAGAAATATCTAGAGAAGAATGATGATGTCTGCTAAGTGAATGGGCATTTTAATTTCTTACACCAGATAAGATAAATCCTTCCCCATGACATCTAATTGTGAGACAGGCATGCTTCAATGGCATTTCTGGGATAGGTTTCAAGCAATTATGAGTGATATGGATTTGATACACTAGTTGGGGTAAACATTCAGGTAAGCATCAGTTTGATTCATCATAATGAATTTACTCTAGATTTTAATATGGGACTATTCAAAAGATAGCTTCACTCCATGAGCAGTGACAGCTTTATAAAAATATAATAATTTTAATGACTGACTATTTCAGCAGGCATCGATTCTTCCTTAAGAATCAAGAGTATGTGAAATCTTAAATTTTCTGATTTTTTTTTTTATTTTTATTTTTTGCTTTTTCAAATTTTTATACTTGGTAACAGATACAAGTCTGTGTTTGCAGCTGATTAATGAAGAAAGATCTGATCTCATTTTCTTCAACATTTGCAAAAGGAAAGAGCATAAGACACTTGATCCTCAGGAAGGGCTAATCCTGAAACTTCTGCCTCAGTTGAAACTGTGGCATTTTGTGAAAGAAACAATACATGTATAAGGATTTTATTAAGATGAATATTAGCATTTTTGTATGGCTAAAATACTGACACAAGGTACCCTAAACTGTAATATTAATGGATAGGTGTGAGAGGGAGAAGGACCAAATTAGGGGAATTCCTGGGGAACCTACCCCTCTCTCTTTGTACTTACCTCAGAAGAGGAAAGGAACAGCTGACAGTCTCACATCGGGAGTGAGTGCCAACTCCAGACGGGACCACACAGCTGGGGGAGTGAGACTTCTGGTCCCAGAGACAGCCAAGTGTAGAGGGGTGGGGTACACCTGGAAAACCCTGGCTGGGAGCTGGGGAGAAGGAATCCAGCATGGAGGGGCTGGACACACTGGGAGAACATCTCAAGGCCAGTGTGAAGGGATGGGACATGGCCAAAAAGTGGGAGCTGGGAACTGGAGAGGGAGAGTCGATGGCAGAGGGGTGGAGTACACCCTACGATCTCCAACTGGGGAAAAGAGAGGGAGGGACAGCCGAGCAGGGGTGTGGCATGCCCAGAAAGACCCTGTTGTGAGCAGGAGGGAGGGAGCCAGATGCAGAGGAGTACGGTAAAACTAGATACCCTTAGCTTGGACCTAGTGAGGGAAACAGGAGGTGGGGACCTGAAGGCTGGGAAGCTACCAGCCTTGTTGGAGGAACAGAAGTGCAATAAGGTGAAAACACCTTAAAATAAATGACAGGGGAACAAGAAGTTTGAAGCTAAATAAATGGCAAGGAACTGTTTGTTTTTATTTGTTTCTTCAACTCTCAGTTTTATCCTGAAGGGATTCTCAGGGTTAAGGTGGCATGAGGGAGGATGCAGGGGATGGTGGAGCCCCATATTTCTCAATAGCCATGTGTAGAAGTGCTGTGCCTCCCAGAGCCTAGTTCTTCTGTTTTGTGGGTTTTTTTCTGTGGAGCATTCTCCCATAAAACAAAAGAAAATAATAAAAAAATCATTATTGAACAAAAAAGTTGTGGCAGGCGGGATTTTTTCAACTGGGAGGGGTTAAAAAGGGGTCATATATGACCCCTTTACCCCTACAAAACTGAAGAAGACATCATCCCATACGGTCCATAAGACCTATAGTACCTACAGTCGACAATAGGTCTCTTCAATATAAAGTTTGGCCCTTGTTAAACATTACGCTGTGCTGCACAAATGTTGATCCATGTTAGTGCTAGCTTGAGTTTGGAGCAGTCACACTTCAGACCAGGACGGGCCTGGAGGACTAAAAGGTAAGAGTCTGCCTCAGTCCCATTCCTGGCTTCCACCCTGTCCCTTGTCCTCCTGGGCTTCCCTGGTTTCTCCCCCCACGCCACACCTTTCCCTGGGGCTCCCAACCTGCCCCTTGGGGATTCTCCCCCTGCCTCTTGCCTCCCCTGTGCTGGAGCATTACTTTCTTGTGACTACCTGTGCTGTCTGTACCAGAAGAGCAGGCAGGTTAACCTACCTGCCCAGCCACCACTGCTGCTGCTCTCTGGGCCACCAGCAGCAGCAGCTGGGATAGCAGGTTAAACCTTCTTTGCCTGGTCCCCTGAGATAGAAACTGCAGGCAGCCACAAGTGGAGTAGGAGGGCAAGACAGGGCAGTAAGCAGGGATCTGAGGTGCTCGGGATGGTTGGGTGGGGGCAGTGGGCCCAATCTAGGTCAGTGGGGGATGGTGAGGGGGTATGCTTACACTAAGGTACAGCCTAGAATGTCTTCACCTAGAGTGTTACACTAGCATAACATGAGCTAGGTAGCACAGATCAGAGATAATCCTGCCTTGGAGTGATGTAACCAGTTTGAGGTGTAACAATTTTCAGGGGCGTAACCAGTTTTGGGTGTTAATGTGTGGACAATCCTGGGGTTAAGAATGCCTGGAACTGTCCAAAATTATTGTGTAACAAAGCCCTAAATCAGGCTGCTTGTATTTTAGATGTTTTATGAGCAACAATGGCATTGTCTATAATATGGCCTTTAACTTCTTAATTTTAACAGGTTTTTTTAATTTTGTAAGAGTCAAAACACTATGTGAGAATTACTAGCTAGGACAAGTACCATATCAAAGGGTTTATTTCAATCAGCAGAAGCTATTGACATACATAGATTTCATAGACATCAGGGCTGGAAGGGACCTCGGAAGATCATTGAGTCCAGCCCCCCGCCCAAAGAGCAGGAAGTCAGCTGGGGTCATAGGATCCCAGCAAGATAAGCATCCAGTTTCATCTTGAAGGTGTTCAATGAAGGCGCTTGAACCACCTCCGGTGGCAGGCTGTTCCAGACCTTGGGGGCTCGGACAGTAAAGAAGTTCTTCCTTATGTCCAGCCTGAAACGATCTTGAAGTAGTTTGTGACCATTCAACCTCGTCATCCCTTGGGGCGCTCTGGTGAACAAACGTTCCCCCAGATACTGGTGGTCACCCCTGATAAACTTGTAGGTGGCCATCAGATCACCCCTGAGCCTGCGCTTTTTCAGGCTAAAGAGCCCCACGGCTCTCAGCCTGTCATCGTAGGGTCTGCTTCCCTGACCTCTGATCATGCGCGTGGCTCTTCTCTGGACTCTCTCAAGCTTCTCCACATCCTTTTTGAATTGTGGAGCCCAAAACTGGACACAGTACTCCAGCTCCGGCCTCACTAAGGCCGAGTACAGGGGGAGAATGACGTCCCGGGATTTGCTTGAGAAGCATCTATGGATGAAAGCCAGCGTTTTGGTCGCTTTACTAGCCGCCGCATCGCATTGCAGGCTCATGTTCATCTTGTGCTCAACGATGACCCCCAAGTCTCTTTCTTCCATAGTGCTAGCCAACATAGCACTGCTGAGCCTATAAGGATGCGGTGGGTTTTTTTCCCCCCAAGGTGGAGAACCTTGCATTTATCGGCGTCGAACCCCATCAGATTCTCGTCCGCCCACTTGCTGAGCCTGTCCAGGTCAGCCTGGATAACCTGCCTGTCTTCTGGTGTGGATGCTTTGCCCCAAAGTTTGGTGTCATCGGCGAACTTGGCCAGTCCGCTTCTGACTCCAGTGTCCACATCATTAATGAAGATGTTGAACAGTATGGGTCCAAGGACAGAGCCTTGGGGGACCCCACTGGTCACAGGACACCACGATGAGTGACTTCCATCGATTACTACCCTCTGGGTCCGACCCCGGAGCCAATTTTCCAGCCAGCGGATCGTGGAGGACCCAAGGCGACAATTGGCCAGTTTCTCCAAGAGGCGATCATGGGACACCAGATCGAAGGCTTTTTTGAAGTCAAGATATATGACATCAATCTCTTCTCCCTTGTCCAGGTGATAGGTCACCTGGTCGTAGAAGGAAATGAGATTGGTCAAGCAAGACCTACCCGCAACAAACCCGTGCTGGCTATCCCTTAAGATGTTGGCGTCGGCCAGTCCATTAAGGATGGCCTCTTTAATAAACTTTT